GAGTGTCAAAAGCAAATAACCTGGGAGGGTTTCTGTCTAGAACCCATCTTAGGTAGATAGAACATCAAAGTTTCAATAAGAAGCAGCAATGCTGGTCAACCTTCACTGAATGCTCAACCCCTGGCATGCCTCCATTGAATAGAATCCCAGTAAATACCATACAGGAAAAAGTCTCTTCATCAGAGATTTGTTGTAAAGTGAGTAAATGCAGCCATACACACACACACACACACACACACACACACACACACATACACATATACATATATATATGTATGTATATGTGTATATATATATATCACATATAGGATTTTTGGAGGAAAAATTTTAAATCAGGATTATTAGGTTTATCTGTAGCAATTAAGAAAAGTAGTATCTACATAAAAGGGTTAAGAAAATAAAGCCTACTTTATGACTAAAAGTATTACCTTCTAAATAGGAATGATTTCTATGGTAAAAATTATTTTCAGTATATGTAAGTCACTTATGAATCAGGAGGTCAAACTGTAAGACAAAGCCCTTCAAACAAAACTCTAAACAAATAGTACAACCTTTAAATTCTATCAGGTACTGACACCAAAATGACAAACACTGAGAAATTAAAATTTGTGAAGAGAAAAATTTTATCATATTTTAAAAGTTCTAGAAAACTCATTATAGTTATTTGTTTTTTCTTATTTGTATGAACTAAAAAATAAAAAGCCACATATCACCAAAATGCAGAGCTGGGTATAAGGTCAAATTACTTAATTTGGCCACAAACATACATATTTTTGTTTTTGTTATTTGGGGGGAAAGTGCCTATCAATATGTGATTATTAAAGAACCTATTAACTCTTATCTATTGATGAAATTTAGAAAATACAAAAAAGTTTTTAAAAAAAGGTTCCTGGAATCCTACAATTTAAAAATCACTGTTCGAGAGAGAGGCATGGACATATATACATTACCAAACATAAGGAAGATAGCCAGTGGGAAGCAGCCACATAGCACAGGGAGATCAGCTCGGTGCTTTGTGACGGCCTGGAGGGGTGGGATAGGGAGGGTGGGAGGGAAGGAGACGCAAGCGGGAAGAGATATGGGAACATATGTATATATATAACTGATTCATTATGTTGTGAAGCTGAAACTAACATACCATTGTAAAGCAATTATACTCCAATAAAGATGTTAAAAAAAAAAACATATGACAGGGGAAAAAATAAAAAAATAAAAAAATAAATAAAATCACTGTTATCCTTTTGCTTTCTTTTCTTTTTTGATTTTTGAATGTATATAATTAAAAAATTCAAAACATTAATAACTTGCTTTTGTCATAATTAAGAAAATAGCACAAATATATGTCTTCTAATTTTTTAAAGTTTTAAATCAGTTTACAATATTTTCAATTTCTAACAATTATATTTACTAATAATCTACATAAACCTCAATATAAGATTCATGAATATTTTCCATGGCAATTACATTTTCTTGGTAAGGTACTGCCGGGGCAGGGGGGGAAATAATAAATGCCTTGATCTCTTTTCTCCTTAAAAAATTAAAACAAAATAATAAAATAACAACAAAACAAAATAAACTGGCTATATAATTTAAAAGCAAGATTTACATCTTTTAAATAAACTGTTATACAAACCTGCTTTGTGATAAGGATAATAATCTATAGTTAGCTGTGTAAAAGACAGTTGCATAGCCCCTCCAGTAATACGTCTGTTTGACTCTGGGAAAAGAAAAAGATGAAATTGAAAGAGAGACAGAGAAAGAAGTATTAAGCAAATATAAGAAACATTTCATTTACCATACCTGCAGTCCAAGCAGTGATAACTGTCTCTCTGTTACCAAGGTTAATACAATAAGGATTTTAAGAAATGCAATTCAGGGATTTCCCTGGTGGTCCAGTGGTTAAGAATCTGCCTTGCAATGCAGGGGACACCGGTTCGATCCCTGGTCCGGGAACTAGGTTCCCACATGTCGCAGGGCAACTAAGCCCTCATGCCACAACTAGAGAGCCTGCGTGCCACAACTACAGAGCCCATGTGCTCTGGAGCCTGCGTGCTACAACTAGAGAGAAGCCTGTGCACCCCAACTAGAGAGAAGCCTGTGCACCACAACGAAAGATCCTACGTGCCACACTAAGTCCCAATGCAGACAATAAATAAATAAATAAATAAATAATTTTTTTTAAAAGAAAGAAATGCAATTCAACCTAGTAAGTATTTATTGAGCCCCTATCCCCTGCAAGGTACTAAGCTAAAAGGTGAGGATACAAGAATAGCAGAACTTTTATATTTACAGACCTAACCATATGCCAAACATTGTTTTAAATTTTTTAAGTGTACTTATTCATTTGCTCTTCATGGCAACTCTATGAAATAGATACCATTAATATTATGCCTATTTTCTAGATAAGAAAATTAAGTAAATAGGCCAAGGTCATACAATCGGTTAGTGTAGGGCTGGTTTTGAAACCAGGAAATCCTAACCACTGCCTTATATCATCCTGCCTCTTGTTGAAGAAGCAATTGAATCTACTAGGTTAGATAAGTTTTCTAAAGTCACACAGCTATGTTAAGATTGGAAGTATCCAAAAAAAAAATTTTTTTTCCATTTCAAAATGTTCTAATTCTGTAAATATTTATTGATATAATCCACGTAAAAAAAGCTCTTGAGGTTCTTAATAGTTTTTGAGAGTGTAAAGTGGTCCTGAGACTAAAAAGCTTGAGAATTACTAAAGCCAGGCTTATCAGAAAAACTTAAGATTGCTAGTCTTTTACTGCCATTTAATTATGGGTATATTATAGTAGAGCAAAAGCATGGATCCTCACTCTTAGAATAAGCTTCTGTCATCTAGTTGGGCAGAAGCTTAGATAATTTCTTAGATATGGTATTTGGAATAGAATCTATGCTTTTAGAATCTATCAGACAAAAAATAAAACAACCTCCCCAAAACACCCTTAAGTAAATGTAGTTGGTCTTATTTAAATGCCACTGAACAGAATGTGGCATTAATGTTTGCCCCTTTGTTTAAAATGTGATTCTTCAAAATAAAATTTAGAGATCACGTCTCTCACATTTTTGAAATAAATGCTATTTGGCAGGGCTTCCATTTGTCCTAGTCTTTCTATTGCTTTTTGGGATGTCAAAACACCCTTAAACAGCTCTTTAGGGTTAGAAGTTCTCTTTTTTTGGCACTTTGCCTTCCCTTCTAATGCTACTAAAGGTTGGATCATTAGAAAGTTGACCGATAGATATATTCCACCCAAGGTTATCACCTCAAGATGAGGTTATGAAACTCCTTATATGGATAGCCACATTCCTTCTACCTGAAAATAAAGCTGTAGAAAAATAAAACTTTAGCGCTCTGTACAACAAGGTTTGTACCACTTATTATATTCCAAGTAATTTTCTAGAAGCTTTACAAATGTTGACCCATTTAAATCTTGTAACAATCTTATGAAGGGCCAATGAAACTGAAGAACATACAGGTTAAGTTACTCATTCAAGGCCACACAGCTGTTGCACGGTAGAGAGTCTAGACAATCTGACTTCAGACATGTGTCATTAACCAGGATAGTATGCTGAAATAGTGCTTTAATTGGGGACAATTTTAAAAATAATATTTCAAATGAAGAGTTGCTTGATTTTGGTGGACATAATCTTAATTAAATTTACTTGTGCTTTGGACAAATATGCTTATGCTTATAAAACTTCTGAGAAGAGATTCAGGAGCAACTGAAGGCACAGGGATAGAAGTTGCAATGATTTGGAGTTGTCAGAAATCTAGTTATGCTGCTCAAACTCTGCCAGTAAAATACCCAAGAATGGCAAAAGTATGAGAACCCTGGTTCTCTGGTACTAGTGACAAATGCCTTTGAAATTTCATGCTTTCTTTTGTAAATGTTCTTGAATTCTGCAAACTATACTACTATATTTTAATATAAAAATCATGTTTTAAATGACTCCTTATTGAAAATAAATGATGCTCCAAGAAGAAAAAAAAAAAAAAGAAGATTGGAAGTATCTAAAACTGTTTCTGTTTTGTTATGTCTGTTCACTTATTTTGTTTTTTAGATTCCACATATAAGTGAAATCATACAGTATTTGTCAATAGGTGATTGCCAGAGGGCAGGGGGATAGGGGAAGAAGAAAAATAGGTGAGGGAGATTAAGTGGTACAAACTTCCAGTTGTGAAATAAATGAGTCATGGGTATGAAATGTACAGTGTGGGGAATATAGTCAATAATTATATAGTATCTTTGTATAGGGACAGATCATAACTAGACTTATCATGGTGATCATTTTGAAATGTATAGAAATAATGCATCACTATGTTGTGTAATAGGAACTAACATAGTGCTGTAGGTCAACTAAACTTCAAAAGCAAACAAACTCAGAAAAAGAGATCAGATTTGTGGTTACAAGAGGCAAGGGGTGGGGGAAGGGAGAATGCGATGAAGGCAGTCAAAAGGTACAAACTTTCAGTTATAAGATAAATAAGTACTAGGAATATAATGTACAACATGATAAATGTAATTAATACTGCCGTACGTTGTAGATGAAAGTTAAGACAATAAATCCTAAGAATTCTCATCACAAGGAAAATTTAATTTCTTTAATTTTGTATCTATATGAGATGATAATGGTCACTAAACTTACTGTGATAATCATTTCATGATGTATGTAAGTCAAATCATTATGCTGTATGCCTTAAACTTATACAGTGCTATACGTCAATTATACCTCAATAAAACTAGAAGAAAAAATAAAAATAAAAAAAGGTAAAAAAGAAATCTGAAGTAGATGAAAAGTCAGTATAACTCCAACATAGAATTCAAACATTAAAACAGCATAGACAAATCAAATACAAATTAGTATAGAGCTATGTACATACTCTCTATATAATTTGTTAACTGCAATTTATCTCAACTGGCAGAATTTCTAGTACAGATCTACAATCCCTTATTTAAAACCCTTGGAGCCAAATGTTTCAGAATTCAGAACTGTTTTAGATCTTATTAAAGTAATGTACGTATATCTGTGTATACATACATATATATGTATGTATATAAACACAACACTGCCAGCAGGTTCTGAGGCAGCACTAAGTAACAAAAGATAGTAATTCTGCAGCAAAACTCAAGTATTTACACTAAGTGGGTATAAGAAAGATGATAAATAGCAACGTGCCCATTTAGATGAAGTTTTGCCAGCAAATGAATTCTTTACAAACTTATGAAAAAGCATTTCAGACCCTTCTGGATTTTAGAATAGCAGAGAACTGATTATAGATCTTTAAGATGAGGAAGCTATTTTGGTGGAGGGGTTTTCTCCTTAAATAACATCATTTAGCTTATTCAATGAGGGAATATAGAGGGAGGAATGTAAAAGAGCTGAGAAAACAGTTTTCTGGTTTTTTGCTGATCACTTAACCTTGACCCCTCATTTTGTTATTTTGGTTTGTTTTAACTTTTTTGATTTTCCTTTCAAATCACTAAAGCAGAAGATGCCAACGACAAGCCAAATGACACAAAGGTAGACAAACAAAAGACAGCAAATCTCTCTCCAAACTCCAAATCTTCCTCACCTTTTCTGCTCCACCCTTTTATCTGGTAGATGATATCTGGCTGCCCTTTCTGAGAAGGCAAGGTAACTTCCATTGTTAAGTATAGGAGCAACAGAAGTTACAGGGGTTGGTCTCAATATTCACTCTCTCAGCTTTAAAAATTCAGAACAACAACTCTCATAGACATAGATTCTGATTCAGGTCTGAGGCCCCAGGTTGGATGTCTCCATTTAAAAAAGATTCTCAGCTTGATTCTCATGCTCACCAAGGTGTGAGAAACACTGTCCTAGAGGCATGACTACCTGACGAGTCCTTCCAACACTTATGGGCCAGAGACACTCTCTGGAGGAGAAACAGAAATGCCCAGCACCTAGAGTATGGAACCACAGATTTTCAAAGTGACCAAGAGCAGCTCCCTGTTAACCCCATTACCTGTGTTTACTAAATAGGGAAAAATAAGAGAAGCAAAAGCTAAAAGGAAAGAAAAAACCTTCCTAACTGGGATTTCGCTTCCTGACCAAATTTAGGGAGGATCTGGAGTAAGGAGACACAAGAAATGTTAAACAGCCACATAGTTGTGTTTATATGCACATAGGGTCAGAAAAATGTAGATAAACCATCATGCTGAAAATGCATGTACATCACTTTTCGGCCTTTTGGCTAAGATCAAGTGAAAATACATGTGCAAATAATTATGAATTGAGTGTGGACTAAAATTTAATTTACAGACAATTTCAAAATTATGAAAAAGTTAATTCAAAGGCTAGTCTAATTTTTCATCAACCTCTAAGGATTTCAGTCGTGAACAAAAAACAAACGAATTTTACCATTAGCATTGACAGCTAACAATTAATTATGTTGAGGTACTATTAAAGCAAAATAAAATTTTATACCAATATACAATGCTTAAAATTACACCTTTCATCTACATACCTCAATGAATGATAAAATTATGACTAGTTATCTTAAGAGTACAGACTACATATTGCATACGATAAACAATCCAGATGTGTAGCAAGTTCCAGAAAAACCAAAAATAGTTTCAAATAGCAGCTTTTATTATTTATTACCTTTTTCTTTAGCATGAATATCATCACATATGTGTAGATCTAGATGAGAAATCACTAAATGATGGGAGGTTTCTTTAACATCAAAGTCACTGAATAGTTTCACAATTGCATCATTTATATCAGGAGCATTTGAAGTCTGTGGTGTCTTCACTTGCTGGGTAGATGGGGCTACTGTAGAGCTCTAAAAGATTCAAAACTGCCTTAGCACTGCAAGTTAAATATTTGACATTCCCCACTCAAAAAAACTTAAATATTTTTAGTAATAGTCATAAAAAATAAGCAAATACATTTTCTTTTGTATCAGTAACTCAGTTTCCTAAAATATTTTCTGAATTATGTAGGAATAAAACTAAAGCCTAAAAACTGGAGAACTGTAAATAATTTGAATATGAACCCAATACATTTTAGTAAATATCTGAATAGCTACATTTATATATTTATAGCCCTTCCTGTTTTAGAAAATATATTTTTAACTATTAAAGCCAGCTTATTTAAATATTATTAGTTTTATATATTGAAAAAGAAAACAAATGAGATCAGCTATATACACTATTGTATGTCCTGTAGAAACAAATCATTACTTTGTAAAAGCACTTGTGATATTATTTAGTACTATACGTGCTCTCATGCCTCTTAAGAGGTGTGGTATGTCCTCTGAACTTGGATATCTGAAGAAGCCAGAAAGCAGAAGAGATTTATAACGGATTGTGAGTTCACATTCTTTTCTCCCCAAAGAGAAAAAACAGAATACTGTTGAAGTATAAAGACATCTGTGAACCTCCAACAGCCTAAAATAACTCTGCATACATAAGAATACTGTGAGATGATATGTACGTGTTAGCCATAGAACTATACATGAAACTCTGGTAACAATTAACAAAATGAAGACCAGATTTTTTATTAAAAATATTTTAAAATTTTCTAATTAAGAACAGTTCATTAAAAGTATAGTTATTTACAGAAAATTAAAGTACTATATACATATAGCTTGTATACAATATACATATTCTTAATAGTAAGAACTATGGTCATACTGTAAAAGAATTTCAAAGTGTACTAGGTAAATGAGAATCTCTCAATGAAAATGATTGGGGCCCACAGTATTTAAAGAAAAGCAAAGATGAAATATAGTTGTGAAGGCTTAAATTCTAGGGGCTCAAGTAAGCTTTTTTACTAATTAACTGTTAAACTGATTTCCATCAGAAAAATCACTTTTTCTTATGTTTTCCCCCATCTACTTTCAAAGCCTTACAGACTATTATTTATGTCTATGATGGTACTGTTTTGAAAGAAAACACTCTCCTGTATTTCTTTAATCATGTATCCTCTTTTACATCAAGACAAATACTGATACAAATAAAAACATAAGTATTAATCTCCCTACAAACACTTTTCTTCATACTGAGGTAGATTTAGGTTTTTGGATGCCATTTGTGGGGGGAAAAGTGTGCCACTATAAACTCTTTTGCCTCATGAATAATCTTAAAAAACTCTTAATTTTCAAGTTTGTAAAGCTCTCAAGTTATAAAGTTGAGCAAAGGAAAACTGTCACCTACTTCACTCTCTAATGCACTCTCTTGGTACCTCAAGTGATCAGGACATTCTGTATGATAACTAAAGTAGTGACGTGACAACTACTACCCAAGAAAGAAACTCCACAGTAATGTGAATGGTTAAGTACATCTACTATAAAATATTATGGTGTGACAAAAAATACTAATTACAAATACTAATGACATGGAAGAAAACTATAGCCAGTTGCTACTACATCCTTACTAAAACTAGGAAAAAATGCAGATGCTTAGGCAAAAAATCTGTAAGGAAATACCTCAAAATGGTAACACTGCTTTTGTTATGGTGGTAGGATTACAGAATTTTGTCCTTGTTTCTAGTTTCCTAATCTGTATCTTTATCTAGCTTCCTAATCTACATTCTATTTTATATAAACATATCCACATATTGCACAAGTAAGAGCTACAGTAACATCAACACTTTGTCTATTGGTCTTTAATTTCAATTACCATCTCTGTTAATGACATCCTAAGCTACATAAATCCTTATTGCAAGCCTTAACAGACTAGTGTTTATGTCTATGATGGTAATATTGTAAAATATTATCTCCTGTACTTCTTTAATTATTTTTCCCACTCCAAAATGGAATTCATTATTACCTTTTCTCAGCCTTACCTCCTGTAATCAAACCTGCTTCCTTCTGCATTTACTCTATTGGCTAATGGAATTACCAATTATTTGAAAAGTTCTCAACTCTTCTCTCTTCTTTACCCTCAACTGGTGAAAGATTCAGATGTCTTTCCCCAATTTGGCTTGTTTTTTCTTCTTTCAAACCATTACCAGAGGTCCAAGTCCACTCCTCCCCTAGAATAGCAATCTTCCTACTCTTCAGTCTACCCTCTATAATACCACCATGTCATACTTGACTTTTGTTTCCTATTTAAAAACTTCCATTGGCTTCTGCATGCCTATAGGGAAAGTAAACATATGATGCTCATCACGTCTAGTTGCCACTTACTTCTGCTTAAACTCAGGCTACCTGCCTAGGAAAACTCTATTCTATGCTATGGTCCAGTATTCTGTTCATCAAACTTTTAAAATTAGGTTCCCTTGAAGAATTATGAAGACATCTTATTGGATAAATATTAATTATTGGTAGAATGATACAGGGTTCACCATCAATTCTCTGTTTGTTTTTATCGTCTAAAGCTCTGGGAAACTTTGTTCACATAAATAAGTAGATTAGAATGAAATGAATTTTGTTTTAGCAATGTGACATGATTCTTTGAACTCTTTCAAGTTACATGCCAGGATTCACAAAGTGATCTATTGTAAAAAATTATTTTTAATAGTCTAGCAGCTGACATTTATTAAACTTCCTTCAAATGTGTTGAAAGCAAAGAAGTGGGAATCACCTAATTTGTTAGTCTGTCATGGGTCATTCACTTCCAACATGGACAGCAATATTTCAAATTGCCTGTCTTATTTTCCAGAGGTTTTTGAGTCAAAACCCTCCCTTCCCAACCCCCTACCCCCAACAAATCCATCAGGGTAAGAATGAGGATGAGTAAGAAGAATGTCTTTCATTTGTAAAGTAGGATACTAGGATATGAGAAATTATGGAAAGGGAGAACCAGTCTGACATCTTAACACAAGAACATTCTCAGGTAGCCCAAATTTAAGAAAGAGTACACATCAAAATGGAAGATGTGAAACAATTTCTTTAAAGCTTGGAAAGTTGTCATATATTCACAAGGCATGTGTATACCTCACTCTCAAAAATAATGTTCTAGGAACACCAAACCCCTTATTTTTATCAGAAAATACCATGCTCCTTAACACCATCATACTTTTGCAGATTCTATTTCCTCATCCAAAATACCCTTTCCCTCACCTGGAAACTTCTACTCATTTTTAAGACTTAACTTCATTATCCTCTTTGTGAAATCTTTCCAAACCCCACAAGCAGTTGATTAAAACTTCTCTGTGCTTCTATAATCTCCTCATTCCCATTTTTAATTCTGCACTCTCGCGTATACGTTGAACTGCAATGATTTGTTTTATATTTGATTCCCCATTACACTGAGATCCTTGAGGGCAGGATCAGACAGTATTTATTTTTACATCCACAGCATGTACCCCTGCACCTTATGACAAAGCAGACAGGCAGTAAACAATGACAATTTGATAGTCACAGGAAAGCCCATGCACCAGCCAGATCATGAACAAGCTATATATCTAAGATGTAATTACTCTGTTTCTAATGAAATAATTCATAGAAGTATGATTTCACAATATCCTTTAAGTCTTTATTGGATAGATATAAAAAGTCAGTCGTACTTATAAAATTATCAAAAGACGCTACACATTGGGATTTTCAATGTCCCTTCTACAAAAATCTTCATGTCAAATTCTCAGAATTTACTACTAGGAAAGATTAGAAAACCTTTTTCTTTTAAGAAAAAACTAGTAATGCATCTGATTTTAAGAAAGTGATCAATAAATAGCTTCCCCCATTTTCGTCCCAGCCATCAGACAATTTTAACAGTTTTGCGTTCAACTTCAGCAATTCCCTAGGGCTTTAGTTTCCTATTTTAATATTAATCCTTACATTCTTTCCCTTGATTATAATTACCCAGGTTTTTACCTTTTGCACTTACTTTAGTAATTTTTAAATTGTATTTTTTTAACTTCCTGAAAGGAAGTATTTATAACATCAAAATACTTTTATGTTATCAGTAACACTGATGCCAAGCACAGACCTCCAAACAAGATAAGTACCATATAGACAGAAATACATTTAATATATGCTTTCATATAGATACCATGTAGGTAAAATTAATATAGTAAGATATATAAGAAGATTCTTGGACTCAAAGTATTATAATCTATGTTGCATAAAGAAAACAACCAACCATTCTGATTTTTAAACCATTTACATGTAAACTGAAGTGTTTTTCCTATTAACATATAATAGCATACCTGTGTAGGTTCAGGAGCCATACTCTTCCTTTGGTCTGTTGATTTTTCTATTGCTTCACTAAGAGATTTTGCATATTGTACCATAGCCTTCAACTGGGAATCCGTTAAAACCCATAATAAGTCATCCAGCATTAGAACTAACTTTGTTGCAATGACATTGCAATCCTTTAACTGTCAGGAAAAAATGATTTATAAAATTAAGCCAAGAAATAAAACTTATAATGCACTTGTATCTTTTAAAAGTTTTAAATTTTTCAATGGTTTAAATACGGATCCTTCCTTATTCACCAAATATTTATTGAGTTCCTATAATATGGAAGGAATATCTCCTAGTATTGGAGATACAGTGGTAAAAAAGACTGATAGATTCCTGTACTTTAACAGGAACAAGTTATATAGGTATAAGTATTTATATAATTTAATTTTTCATTTATAGCTAATAAATCATATAATTACCTATGTTAATCCAACCCCAGTTGACCCTTGAACAATGTGGGGTTAATGCATATAACTTATAGTCGGCCCTCTGTATCCAAATTTCCTCCATATCCAAGGTTCCTCCACATCCACAGATTCAACCAGCCTCAGACCATGTAGTACTGTAGTATTTACTATTGAAAAATATCCACATATAAGTGGACCCGTGCAGTTCAAAACTGTGTTGTTCAAGGGTCAGCTGTAATTCTAGTAGAAAAAGGGACATTAAAATTAATTAAAGGGACTTACCTGGTGGTCCAGTGGTAAAGAACCTGACTTACAATGCAGGGGACGCTGGTTCGATCCCTGGGCGGGGAACTAAGATCCTACATGCGTGGGGCAACTAATAAGCCCATGCACCACAACTACTGGGCTCACACGCCTCAACTAGAGCCCACGTGCCGCAAACTACAGAGCCCATGTGCTCTGGAACCCACAGGCCACAAATACAGAGCCCACACACCCTGGAGCCTGCGCGCCACAACTAGAGAAGAGAAAACCCGCACGTCACAACTAGAGAGAAGCCCATGCGCCACACGAAAGATCCCACATGCCTCAACTAAGACCCGATGCAGCCAAAAATAAATAAATCTTTAAAAAAAAATTAATTAAAAACTGAAATGCTGGGGGCTTCCCTGGTGGCGCAGTGGTTGGGAATCTGCCTGCCAATGCAGACGACACGGGTTCGAGCCCTGGTCTGGGAGGATCCCACATGCCATGGAGCAACTGGGCCCGTGAGCCACAATTACTGAGCCTGCGCGTCTGGAGCCTGTGCTCCGCAACAACAGAGGCCGCGATAGTGAGAGGCCTGCGCACCGCGATGAGGAGTGACCCCCACTTGCCACAACTAGAGAAAGCCCATGCACAGAAATGAAGACCCAACACAGCCATAAATAAATAAATAAATAAATACATAAAAAAAAAAAAAAAAAACTGAAATGCTATTTTAACCATATTTCACATTTTAGAATATCTGTATTGTCATACTCTGAAAAATTCTTTTCTATTTAATTTAGTACAGTGATTTGTGTCTAGTACTAGAAAACACATCGTTGAGATTTTAATTGAGCCAAGTTTTTAAAAAAGTCGTTACTCCCCCTCAAATTTCAACACAATCCACAGTGGACTCTCAAATACTGACATCCTTAAGTAACTATCGTCCCTATTTATCTAAATTACTAGTCATATCTTAACCTTCTAAAACTAGTCGTTTTGGTTACTAATAGTGAAGACTTTACCATTTACCCACTCCTGAGGAAGAATCAATAAGGAGAAGTAAAATTATAAAACAGTTAATGTTCAATAAATATTTGATAACTGAGACATCTAGTCAATTTATCAAAAATAAAAATCTGCGGGCTTCCCTGGTGGCACAGTGGTTAAGAAACTGCCTGCCAATGCAGGGGACATGGGTTCGAGCCCTGGTCTGGGAAGATCCCACATGCCACGAAGCAACTAAGCCCGTGCACCACAACTACTGAGCCTGTGCTCTAGAGTCCGTGCTCCACAACAAGAGACGCCACCGCAATAAGGAAGCCCGTGCACCGCAACGAAGAGTAGCCCCCACTCGCGGCAACGGGAGAAAGCCCACGTGCAGCAACGAAGACCCAACACAGCCAAAAATAAATAAATTAAATAAATAATTTTTTAAAAGACCCTATTTCCAAATAAAGTCACATTAAAAAAAAATCTAAATATTAAACTTAGAAACCTGAAAAATGTTACCATTACATTAGATTTCTTTAAATATAGCTTGAGGCACTGTATTTCCTTTTATTTTACAGTTTTAATATGCCAATATTTCAGCTAAAAAATAATTTAAAATTTCCCATCAATTCTAATAGTTATCACATAAATCATAAGGGTAACCCTGCTGACTTACTCTTCTTTTAAGTGTGACTCTGATTTTTGATTGGTTGGTTATTAATCGAACAGGAGCACACATAATTTCAAGATGTGAGCTTTGGGTAGCATCTGCCTCTATTCGAATCATCTGCCAATTTATTTCCTTAAAGGTCAAAACCTAAAGAGAATATAGAGATTAGCTTCACTTACACAAAATAGAATAAGAAAAATGTAGATGTGTAAAAACAAAAAAAAGTTATTAGAAAAATGTATTTCTTCACTAATTTTGATATGACATTCTAGATCTATTCACTATGCTTTAATTTTTTAAATTGTAGAATTCCAAATTCAGTAACACATCTTCATAATTATATTCATCATCTGTAAAGCTGTTAACAGTTTTATTCTAAGTAATTTAATTTTAATATAAAGCACAAAGAACATCTGAATTATGTAACCAAGAAGAATTTTAAAAACATATTTTAGTTATGTATATTTAAAATTCAATTCTGAGAAGCTAAGAAGTTAAAATAGGACTCATTAACTCTGTAAGTTGAAATATTACAGTAAAAACATTAAAATATGCACATTATATAATTAAATGATTAAACGTAGTACAGAGAAAAGTATAGTTAAAGGGCAAAAATAAATCTAGTAGTATGTGAATAAGCAACCATAAAAAGTAATTATTTTAAATATTTTTTTAAATTTATTTATTAAAAAAAAATTTTTTTAACATCTTTATTGGAGAGAGTGGTATGGACTTATATATACTACCAAATGTAAAACAGATAGCTAGTGGGAAGCAGCCGCATAGCACAGGGAGATCAGCTCGGTGCTTTGTGACCACCTAGAGGGGTGGGATAGGGAGGGTGGGAAGGAGACCCAACAGGGAGGAGATATGGGGATATATGTATATGTATAGCTGATTTACTTTGTTGTAAAGCAGAATATACTTTTATATTAATCAATGACTAAAACATTTTTTAAACAAAGAAAGAAAAGGAAAAAATCTTTACCTCTCCTCTCTGTGGATCCTGAATACGGGCAAATCTTAAATCTCCATGTTCCCAGTTTGCATTTACACTATAGATCCGTAGCTGGGAAAGTTCAAAGGATGCATTGAAGGCTTTTGCTCCAATGCGGATGACAATGGAATTTACAGAAACAGTAATTCCCTCAACTACTTTTTCAGCAAAGCCGTATTCACTGGGAAAACAAAGCAGAACAAAATATAATGCACTAGAACCAAAATAAAATCATTAGAAGTGAAAAAGTTTTGTTAATATTCTCACACAAGTACACAAACTGCCATAATAGTATTCATTTTTGTTTAACCAAACACATTTTTGTTACAACAATAATCTAGTCTGGTTACATGTAAGTTACAAAAAAAAAATGTTCTTCTCAAAATGATAAAAGGTTTTTAAAATTGGAAGTTACTCTCTAAATTATTATAATCACCTTCCAAAGTTGCCTAGTCTCAAAAAGCATTAGTGCAGACAACTGGCATCAATGTTAGTAAGTAAGAGGGCTAAATTATTGACACAAAGAAGTTTGCAGAGGCCAAGTGGAATATAATCTCATAATTTAGAAATAAGGTCAGAAAAAGTTCACATTCTCTAATTCAATTCAGCAAGTATTGAGCATCTACGATGGGGACGATGCTAGGACATAAAGAAAAACAAAGTAGAGTTGTGGCGTTACAGGGTTTGCAAGTTACTTGGGTAGGAAAAAAAAACACATATCCTAGCAACTGAAACATGAGGCAGTCTGTAATTAAGTGTTTTTAAAAAGGAATCATCAGTACACTTGGTAGAGGAAGAAACTGTTTATAGTTAATGAGAAATATATCCAGGAAAGAAAGATGAACTTTCCTCAAGGAGGGATGAAAAGGAAGGGAAATCTTAGAATAGGGAAAAGCATGAGCAAAGACATGGAGAATAATAAAGTAAAGGTCACATTTCAAGAATGGTAAGTACAGTATGACTTGAATATAGACTATCAGTATATTTTGGCAGGGGGGTGGTGAAAGTTTGCCAAATTGGCACCTTACTTCAATTATAACCATTATTCCTAAATCTATATCACTATCCAGATCTCTTGCTGTGACTTCAGACTGTAAAATTCAAATGTCCACCAGACAGTCCACCTGGCTGCCTCTCACAGATTTCAAAGCCAACACACATAAAAGTGAGGCCATCATTTTTAATGATCATGCACACTGCTCCTCTATACCTGCTGCTATGCTTCTTGATTTACTATCTTAATGAATAAATAAAATTACTCATCTTTTCTAAAATTTAGATGACATCTTTTTTTTTTTTTTTTTGGGCCTCTCACTTTTGGGGCCCCTCCCGCTGCGGAGCACAGGCTCCGGACGCGCAGGCTCAGCGGTCATGGCGCACGGGCCCAGCCGCTCCACAGCACGAACCCGCGCCCCCTGCATCGGCAGGCGGACTCTCAACCACTGCGCCATCAGGGAAGCCCTAGATGACATCTTTTAAATCAGGATACACTTTGTAGGTTATATGTAGATTGCATGAAATAATGCATATGAACCACATAGCCCATCTCTGGACTCAAGACACTGAAAAAGATATAACTGTTATTTATAGTAGTATAAATAGTAGTATGTTATTATTAATACTATTGGAAGTCTCTGAGCCTCAGTTTCATCATTTGTAAAATGAAAATCATACCTATTTCAAAAGGTTGCTGTGGTCCTTAAGTGAAATGGTATATGTGTAGCAATTTATACGGTCCTTGGCTTGACTGAGGTAATTTTGTTATAAAAAAAAAAGGTGGATGTCTACCTGGGGTTTAGAAAATTGAGAACTGAAGAGGAAGAATTCATCAGCATCCTAGGGGGGAGTTGCTGTGATCCTAAGGACAAATACTGGTCACTTACACAGAAATATTCCTGGAGTTGGAAAAATATTTCTATAATAATTATCTGGGAATACCCTTTGGAATATCCAAATCCATCTACTCTAATCTATGCACATTAAAAAGTGCTACAATTGTACTGGACAATTTACCATCAGAAGGGTGAAGGCGGACTCAATGACTAATGTCTACATGTTTCTGGTTTATGTCATCCATTATAAATGAAATTTCAGTTTACAAATAAGTCTCTTCTGAGTTTGGTTAATCTTCACATAGATGTTTATCTCCTTCATGTGAAGTGATAAAATCAAATTTCTGACTTTACAAAGTTTCCTAGACCATCAATCTGTGGGAGCATTGTTAGTCTACAGGTTCTGCACAGAAGGAAGGGTCACCCTATTAATCGTTAATTTCCCTCTATTTTAATCTCTTAGCTAGAATTAAATCAAATAGATCAGTGTTTCCTTAAATTGCATGACTATAAAGAATTATTGAAAATACATATTCATATTCTTGATAACCATTCTAGACCTAATGAATCCTAATTTTAAATGAGGAGCCTAAAAAACTGTGAATTTCATAAGCACCCTAAATGATTGCTACAATTAGGCAAGTCTGGAAAACATAGAAATAGATTAAGATACTACCATACAATATAAGGATTACCATCATATGATTACAAAGCCAAAATTATAAAGCTTGTTGATACTATAAAAACATGAATTGGTAAGAACACTATCAACTACACTTAGCATACAATAAGAAAATACCTAATTTCTGCCACACCTAATTAAAATAAATCATTTGTTTATAGCAACTTTCCTGATCTTCTTTTTCCCTTTTAATATTCTTATAAACATCTCAACTTTTTCTCCAATTTTCTGAGTCTAGCCAATTTTAAGATCAACTGCTCCAACCTACTCTATCTAACCTGAAATCATAATCTAAACTTTAAAATCTCAAATTGCTGGAAAATACGTAAACTACAAAGAAGTTAATGTGAAAGCTCTTTTCCCTATAACTATTACATATAGTCCAAATATAAACTGTATATCTGATAAATCTGGCCTTCAGTCAACTCTCAGCAGTGGATGGATCACCATTTGATTCCCACACGAAAAGCCACTTATCAGAATGCAGGTATTCTCACAGAATGCATTAATAATGGTGGCTCAACCTTGGTGAAAGAGGAGGAAAATATGAGAGTGCAAGAAACAGAGTATGTGTGTGTATCTGTATGTGCATGTTCATTCTCAAGAAGAGTTTATCACTGGTTTTATACAGCACCCAGAATACTGTAAATGTTCACAGCTGCCATGTGGTACAACTTGAGGCACTAATCACATTAAAATCAATGTAAACTTTTTACGTGAATAGCTGCACCATCCAAAATTAGTGCAGAAAACCTGTTTTGAGGAAATGATATATAATACAAGATCCAAATTTACTGAATGCAAAGATGAATAGGCAAGTTTTTGAAGATCTATTTTTTAAGAACTATTCTAACTTCTCAAGGCAGCTTTGTGAAATGCTCCCCATGCTCCTACTTTATTAACATCTTATTTTTATCTATCAAAATTCAATCTGGGGGGACTTCCCTGGTGGTGCAGTGGTTGAGAGTCCGCCTGCCGATGCAGAGGACGCGGGTTCATGCCCCGGTCCGGGAAGATCCCACATGCCGCGGAGCGGCTGGGCCCGTGAGCCATGGCCGCTGAGCCTGCGCGTCTGGAGCCTGTGCTCCGCAACAGGAGAGGCCACGGCAGTGAGAGGCCTGCATACCGGAAAAAAAAAAAAAAAAAAATTCAATCTGGGGCTTCCCTGGTGGCGCAGTGGTTGGGAGTCCGCCTGCTGATGCAGGGGACACGGGGTCATGCCCCGGGCCGGGAGGATCCCACATGCTGCGCAGCGGCTGGGCCCGTGAGCCATGGCCGCTGAGCCTGCGCGTCTGGAGCCTGTGCTCCGCAACAGGAGAGGCCACGGCAGTGAGAGGCCTGCATACCGGAAAAAAAAAAAAAAAAAAATTCAATCTGGGGCTTCCCTGGTGGCGCAGTGGTTGGGAGTCCGCCTGCTGATGCAGGGGACACGGGGTCATGCCCCGGGCCGGGAGGATCCCACATGCTGCGCAGCGGCTGGGCCCGTGAGCCATGGCCGCTGAGCCTGCGCGTCTGGAGCCTGTGCTCCGCAACAGGAGAGGCCACGGCAGTGAGAGGCCTGCATACCGGAAAAAAAAAAAAAAAAAAATTCAATCTGGGGCTTCCCTGGTGGCGCAGTGGTTGGGAGTCCGCCTGCTGATGCAGGGGACACGGGGTCATGCCCCGGGCCGGGAGGATCCCACATGCTGCGCAGCGGCTGGGCCCGTGAGCCATGGCCGCTGAGCCTGCGCGTCTGGAGCCTGTGCTCCGCAACAGGAGAGGCCACGGCAGTGAGAGGCCTGCATACCGGAAAAAAAAAAAAAAAAAAATTCAATCTGGGGCTTCCCTGGTGGCGCAGTGGTTGGGAGTCCGCCTGCTGATGCAGGGGACACGGGGTCATGCCCCGGGCCGGGAGGATCCCACATGCTGCGCAGCGGCTGGGCCCGTGAGCCATGGCCGCTGAGCCTGCGCGTCTGGAGCCTGTGCTCCGCAACAGGAGAGGCCACGGCAGTGAGAGGCCTGCATACCGGAAAAAAAAAAAAAAAAAAAGATTCAATCTGTGTAAAGGGTGAGCACTGTATATTTAATGAATTTTAGAGTAATCCGAAAGGTCTATAATTTTTTAAGGCATCAACTTAACTCTTAAGAGTCATAAAAATTCCACTGATGCATAGAACAAATGTTATATAGAGAAATCAAGTAAGAGATTATCTGATTTAGAATGCCTAAGCTCTTCTTTCATTTTCTGCTACTGCTCTGCATTTGACTGATCATTAGTATTTAATATCAAGGAAAGCAAGATGAATAAAAGAGGCTCAAAATCAATTCTGCTACTTTTGCAATGTATTTACTGAAACTGTAAAATGTTTGATGGGAGAAGTGACTAAAATAGAAACTGAAGCTAGGAAATTTTACTTTATGTCCCATTACTGCCAGTCATACAGATTAATGGAAAATAGCTTACCTTTGTCCTGAAGCAGTTGCAATTGGTGATGGGCCATTTGGGGTTCGTGGTTCTTCACATGTACTCATTTCCATTATTACTTTATCCAAGGACTAATAAAAATATATTAAAAATGTAAACATTAGATATTTTATTTTATGTATATTATGTAGATATTATTTAAGGCTATTTTCTCTTTCATTTCTTTAGGAGCAAAGAAAACAGTAAGTAAGCAGAGTCATTTTAAATGTTTCTCTAGAGGTCTAAAAAGAGAAATACTAAAAAAAAAAGTGCTTAGACCTTTCTCAAGGCACTTATTATCTGGTGGAAAAGCTTATTACAGGAGTACAGGAGAAAAAAACTATAAGAAGTAACCATATACTGCTGACATCATCAGGTTTTACAGACATATAATCGCTAATCCCAGAGTGTACTACATTATTAATTGATAAATTAGATTATTTATTAATAAATAGGACTAAACCACCTCTAAAAGCTTAAACCTGAGCTTTAATTAAAACCTGGGCTAATTAAAATAAATAGAACCAATCTAAAACCTGAGATTTAAGATGTGTAAGAAAAAATGAAAAATGCAAGAAATATGAAAAAGTAAATACTCTCATAGTAAAAAAGTTTCTTTCTCAGTCTAAGTTTTTTCTTGAAGGAAGATCAAATGTCCTTAGTAGTCATCACTAACACATCTCCAGTCATTCTTCATTCTCTATTTAATATTGTACTTATTATCTGAAACTGTCTTGTTTTGTTTACTTGTTCGTTGTCAGTCACCTTGTAAAAATATGCTCCCTCAGGGCAGAGGGGAGGTGCTCAGTAAATATTTGTGGTATGAATGAATCAATAAATGACCAACTGATCAGTTTTCCTTAAAAAGTAAAGTATATTAAAGAACGTATTATATTAGATCAGTAAAAGCAGAAACACAGAAAGTCTGGACCAAACTTTATTAAAAGAAGAATCTCATAAATAAAGTATATCAATAAAAAGTTAAAAAATGCAATAAAATATAACAACTTATAATATAATATTCTAGACCTGAAAAATTTTAAAGACCCTCTCATTTTAAAGTTCAAACTTCTCATTTAAGGACTGAGAAAACTAAGTACCATCAAAATAGAATGAAAGTTAACTAGCAGAGAAGCCATGAGATTATGTTTCTATGAAACAAAATATTAATATTTTGTTTAATATTAATTAGATTTGTTAGATTATATGCATATATAAGTGTTTATTTCTGAAGCAATTCAGAACTTACCAAACAGATGGGATGTGTTTTCAGTTTTGTCCATGGTATCTACAAAAGAAAATTTTTCTTTCTTTAAAATGAATCATTAAAAAAATAATGTAAAAGAGTAATCAACACAGATACTCTCTTAACATAGTGAAAGACATACCAAATTATATCAGATGACTTTTTTCTTAAATTGCAAAATAATAAACTGAGCGATTCACTCATACTCTTGAAATCAGCTGCACCTATTTTATATTAAAAAAGACTACTAGCCTTATTTTCTTGGTCATCTTTTAAAATAAAAATTTCAGGTTCTCTTAATATCTTTTTTCCCCAGTTCTGAAAACACATTTTAATTTTGTAGCTGAAGAATTCCTAGCAAAGCATAATCAGTGTTTTGTTCATTTAACAATTTTTTAAATTCTAGAATTCCAACCAATCTCCTTGTAGGTATTCAAGACAAATACAAAAGTGAGACCATTAATGTTAAATGCAAGTAATGTCAAATAAATAATGTTCAAATATATCCTGCACTAAAAATGTCATGTTTTTATAGACATTTGGGTTTATGGAGGACAGAACAAAAATTAAAGGTTACTGCAACCTTTCTACAATCTTTTCTTTGGAGCCCAATTTTAATTTTATGAAAAGTTAGCATGCAGTATTTCTACTGAGTAGGCTCCCAAACTAAGCCTAATCTTTAAGAGAAGGAAATGATATGATGTATGATTAGAGCCAAAGATAATAAAAAAGCTTAAGTTTTAATAAACAGAAATAGTATTAAAAGAAAACTTTAAAAACCTTAAAATAAAAAACAAATGAGGAAAAGAGACAGAATTTCAAATAAAAGTATAATGTCCAGAATAAGATAACTTATCAGTCCTTATGTCTTCATTTGAAGTAATGTTTACTAACTACAAATTTAAATTGTCCCTTTTGACAACAAATCATGTGAAACAAATTTTAAATACGTACCAAATTTAACAAATTATTTTATTAATAAAGCATCAATTTTATTTAAATATTAAATTTTAATAAAACTTAAAACCTATAAATTAATAAACATATATTAGCATTCAATTAAATTCAAAAGGCACACATTCATTCAATTATTTATACAAGGTATCTATCTTTTAAAATTATGTTAATAAAAATGCTTCTTTTCAGAATTACCTAAAACAAAATATTTATTTTAAAAGATACGGATGAAATAAATAAAATGAAAACAGAAAATGCCTTGCACAGATATCAAAGTCTCACCCTAATAGATGCTTTATTACAAAAAACTTTGTTGATAGCAAGCCATGTTGGCAAATCCAACATATTCTGGAGCACCTCTTCATCCAACTCCAAATTCTTCAGTTCACCTTCTCCTTTAAGGGTACTTAGATTTATCTTGTCAGGAGATAAATTTTTGGTAAATCTGAAAGAGAATATATATTGACATTTATTTTAGTGTTAGTTACTGTACCCCTGACTTGTTCTTGCAAATATACAGAGCATTAAGAATGTAATAGCAGCACTAAGAAACACAAAACCACAATGATAGGCTCTACTCTAATCCGTGTTTTTCAATGTGGTTTTATTATTATTGTTTTGATCTCCCTTGTCCATAGCTCTCTTGCACAAAGTCTACAGTATTTTTGGTATACATTTAAATATCTTATAACCAGACACAACCAAGCTCTAGTTCTTACTGTCTTTCAAATTTATGAATACTTAGTATCCACTATTTTTCAGGAACTATGCAAGGCTTTGAGCCATCCCCTACATTTTGTTCACTTCGCTACAGACAATATCACAGAAGTGGATATTCATATTTTACTAACCAATATACAAGTAAGGTAAGGAAATGAGGTGGCCCTTTAGAAATAGTAGCAGCAGCAGCTGCCACCACTGCCATTCATCATGCCGAGAGCTTAATGAAAGTGCCAAAAGTCACATAGGAGACTGGACCCTGAATTCTAATTAAAGAACTCAAATTCTCTATAATGATTTAAAAAGGAAAGTTCTTAAACTCAAAAGAAAACATTGAAAATAAAAATAGTTAAAATAACAGTGAACATTTTCCAAGGGTTTATTGGATACCAAGCTCTTCTCTTTGAGGGCATGCGTTACTAATTTTCACGATAACCCATTAGGGTCAATACTATTTTCATTCCCACTTTTTAAAAAAATATATTTATTTATTTATTTGGCTGCACTGGGTCTTGGTTATGGCAAGCGGGATCTTCGTTGCTGCGTGCAGGATCTTTAGTTGCATCGTGCGGGATCTTTTAGTTGCAGTATGCGGGCTCTTAGTTGCAGCATGTGGGATCTAGTTCCCTGACCAGGTATTGAACCTGGGCCCCCTGCGTTGGGAGTGTGGAGTCTTAACTGCCGGACCACCAGGGAAGTCCTTATTCCCACTTTTTACAAGAGTAAATATAAAGAGAAACTAACTAATTTGCCCAATGTCACAACTAATAATGATGATAACAGTAATAATAACAATAAATTACACATGCACTTTAAAGAACTTTCGTATATATTAATTCTTAACACAACCCTACAAAATAAAAAATTGCTAACTTTACCCAGGCTTACTTTTTAAAAAGTGAAACTATTGAAAAAGTTAACTACTGGCTAACAAAGGAGTTATTAGCCAGTCTTCTACCATTTTTTGATATTAAATATTAAAGTAACAAAATGTACTGGGTTATTTACATGCCCTACACATCAACAAGAATCAATATGCACATGCTTCTGCACTGACTCTAAACCAGAATTTCTTGAGCCAGATCTTATCTGGGTTCCTATCTTCTCACAAAATGTCAACACACTGTCTTTCTCAATATAAAGCTCGTATTTAACCCATATTTGACCAAAGATGCTGAACTGTTTCACACTTACTACCAATCATGTTTCATTTAATAATATGAAGTTTCCTGAGAGGCTGCCATTTCTAATCATATAGGAATGACCTGCCACTGCCTCAAGGCAGAATATTAGTGCAGAAGGGAACATTCAGTAAGTACTTACTGAGGATTCACTATTCTGACACATACACTGGCAAGCAGTATACTCAAGGTTTTTGCCTTTCTGAAATGTTCAGTTTAGTTGGTGAAGAGTGAATACAGTAGGGGTTCTTAATCCAGATCTTCTTTGAAATAGGGACTTTTGAGCTGATATCTAAAGGATGAGTAATAGAAGTTAACTAGGCAAGGAAAAGAAGGGGTCAGGAAAGAAAGCATATTCCAAGTAGAGGGAATAAAACATATGAAGGTTCTGAGGCAGGAGGGAGCATGGTATAAAGTGGAAGTGAAAAAGATCAGCATCTGGCATGTAGCAAGAGAGCCAGGAGAGCAGAAGATAACTCTGGAAGGACAAAGAGAGGACTGATTACACAAGGCCTTGACCATTTTATTCATTCATTCATTCAATAAATTTTAACTGATTACCTATAATTTAAAAGGCACTAGGCAGGGTGGGCTTTCCTGGTGGAACAGTGGTTAAGAATCCACCTGCCAGTGCAGGGGACAAGGGTTCGAACTCTGGTCCGGGAAGATCCCACATGCCGCAGAGCAACTAAGCCCGTGTGCCACAACTACTGAGCCTGCACTCTAGAGCCCACGAGCCACAGCTACTGAGCGCCTAGAGCCCGTGTTCCGCAACAAGAGAAGCCACCGCAAAGAGAAGCCGGCGCACCGCAACGAAGAGTAGCCCCCGCTCACCACAACTGGAGAAAGCCTGCGTGCAACAATAAAGACCCAATGGAGCCAAAAATAAATAAATAAATTTTTAAATAAATAAATAAATAAAAGGCACTGGGGATTTGACAGTAAACAAAATAGATAAAAATCTCTTCCTTCATGGAGCTTAACTGGGGGGTGGAACATAGAGAATTAAGAAATAAGTTAAATATATAATAAGTCAGATTCAAAGTGAAGAGGTACTCCTTATAGTTGAAATAAGAAATACAAATTTAAGTATATTGTTTAACCTCACAAATGTAAGTAATGGAAAAGCTAACAATAGTGATATAATTTATTAGGTATTGTACGTCGGGAAAATTTGGAGTGGTTGATTTAGTAAAATCCTTACCTATCTTAGCAGTAAGTGAGTATGCAAGATCTAACACTGATACATCTAGAATGAACAGCATAAATATATAATTTAGAGCTAGTAGGGTAACGATGAGGTAAATGCGACTGCCACTGGGGAACAAGATTGGAGGGATCAGGAAAGGATGGGTTGGAGGCTTGTTGCTTTTTGTGTTCAGCCCGCTTGAATTCATTCATTCATTTATATAACAAATATTTGTTGTGTGCCAAAAATGTGCCAGACACATAAATGAAACAGATGAGTGGGGGAGACAGGGTATTTTCTACCACAATAATGCCAAAATTTGAAACTGAATATTAGGCAGTCTTGTTCTTAAAATTTTTTATTAGGCAATTGATGCCAACATTTTGCTCCCCTCCTCTCTTACCCTTCCTCTTACATTGTCATTCTGTAACACAAACTTTTCAGTCATCTGCTACCCACACCCAGTCTTGTTTTCTGGTGTTGTGGGGAACGTATGAATGGGACAGTAAAGGAGAACTCTTACCTGCCCTACCTTTCCCCTCCAATGGAATGGCTAGGAGAGGTCCCAGGATTTCTGTGGAGGGGATTTGTGGTTGTTGAGTTCCAGGTAGTTATGAGACACTGCAGTGAGCTGAAGCAGCAACGATGATAAGCATACTGAGCAGACTACTTTGGAGCCAGAATGAGAAAAGCTGTCTCTCTTTCTATATATTCAGGTACCAGAGTAGTGCATATAGAACCACATGGGAGCGCTTAAAAAACTCAATGCCCAGGCACAACCCCCTCCCTTCCCACCCTTACCACTACCAGTTAAATTAAAAAGTCTCTGGCAAAGGGACCTCAGGCACATGATTCAAATCATTAACATACAGTTCATAAGCGATTTCTGCACAGTTGATTGACTTAAAAAATTAGAGCTTCAAACCACTTTTCATTCTGATATTCATAATATAAAGTCCAAGAAAGAACAACACTCACTTCCTTGACTTTATAATACATAGTTATAGTGTAAATAGAAAATGTATGGCTTTTATTTCATGAATAAGGTTAACTCTGTGGTCAAAAGCCCCCCGCCACCAACAAACATACTAGTTTACAGCTCTAATCTCACCGCTTACCCTCAGTGTCCCCATGCTGTTCTCCAAACATACCAGGCAAGCTCTCCTCCTTAGAATTTTTCACTGGCTGCTCCTACTGCCTGCAACACTATTTCCACCATATCCATAAGGCTAAGTCCCTCACCACCTTAGAGTCTACTCAAATATTACCTCCTCAGTGAGGCTGCTGATGAAACAAAATTATTTTAAGGCAGGAAAAAAAATTTAACGTGAAATTTTCTCTGCTGTTTGAGCCACTATACCTTCTCCTTAGTGTGCATTGTGCATCTGCATTATACATTAACTAGATTCCCTAAGAAGACGCAGGAATGTCTACACACACACACACACACACACACACACACACACACACACACACACACAAATTTCCTGCTGGCACCAGCAAGGAAACTCCTTAGAAGGAAACACCTTAGGAGATAGCATTCCCTCCTTAATCATGTAAGGGGTTATGATGACACACTACTCACTTTGTTGAACTATGTAAACTGTCAATGCCACCTTGATGTTTAACCCTTTGATGTATAACCCTTTGTCTCAAAAACTTATATAACTGTGCTTTGACCTCTAATGGGCAGAACAGTCCTCAGAGCTTTCTGAAAGACTATCTCCCTAGTTATAATTTTCAGATTGGCTTGAATAAGATTTTCCATTTCTTTCTTGAAAAAAGAAAAGTCAGATTCTGATAACTGTGGAAAAAACAAAGCAAAACTAAGATAGGAGGTGCAAGCAGAGGACCTTTTAATTTTTAAAAGAGTAGACAGGAAAAGCCTCATTAAAAAGATGACATTTGGGCAAAGATCTGAAGAAAGCCAAGGAGCTAGCTATGCAAATATCTGGAGGAAGAATGCTCTAGGCAGAGGAAAAGCTAAGGGCAAAAACTGAGGTAGGAACATGCTTGGCAGGTCTGAGGAATAGCAAAAAGGCCAATGTGAGTGGAGGAAATGAACAAGGGCAAAAATGAATGGAGATGAGGTCAGAGAAATAACAAGGGCCAGATCATGTGAGGACTTTTAAGCCACTCTAAGGACTCTCTGGCTTTTACTCTGAGTAAAAATGAGAGTGACTGGAGATGGCTTTTGACAAGAAGAGGGAGTTTTAAAGGATGGCTCTATTGAGAATAGATAAAAGAAGGACATGGACAGAAGCAGGGAGCCCAGACAGAAGGTTATTGCAATAAGACAGGTAAGAGAAGATGTTGCCTTGGACAAAGATGGAAGAGTAGGAAGTGGTGAGAAGG